CATGAATCATGAATGCTCAGACTAGCTAGCATAGCCACCAATGACAGCAGATAAACAGTTTCCCTGTAACGGTAAGTTGTTTCTCTGCCATTAACAAATTTAGCAGCATATACACAAGACTGATTGACAGCGATAAAACCCTCCTTCTGGCTCTGATTGTTTTTTGTGCATTTCTTTAGTCAGCAATAATAACGAGGTGGAGGAGATCAATCTATTCAACTGGTAACCACATTTTTCTTTCTATCCAATGACATAACTTTGATAACTAAAACGGGTCGAGAGTTTGACATTTGCCATCGTCCAGCATCCCACTCGCCTTCCTTCCCCATCCCTCCCGGCAAGAGGTGGCATATGTATTTATCTGGTGACTGCGCGGCATTTATCACACAGCTTAGTCATAATTAGTGCAACTTAGTCTGGGGCACAGAGCCTGTTAGTGGGCATATGTTCAGATCTAGTTAAAGACACAGTGGTCCCCCCGAGGGGACGGCTGAATGTGGACATGTGTGCCTGTGAAGCTGTCCGTGGAGCGCACCCTGAGCTTCCATTAACACAACCCACCATGTTCCCTTCCCCGAGTCGCCCGCCCATGCTGAGAGAGGCCACTCAAAACCTAGAGAGGAGCGAGTTCACTCAAGTGTACGCAGTAGAAGGGCTGGTGAGGAGCTGGTGCAGACAGGAAGGAGCAAACGGAGCGAGCGAGGGATGGATATCATGAGAAAAGGGAGAGAGAGAGCGTCCGACTCGGGCGTGGGGGGGTTAGCAGACGAGCCGAGTGTCAGCTGCCAGCTTGAGAGTGCAGTTGGCATCCATAAGTGTGTCTGTGTACACACGAATGCACAAACGTTTAATAAAGCGCGACATAACGACCAAGTGTATTAACGTAACACAAGTCGAGCCACAATCTTCGCTCCTCTTGCAAATGTGTTGCTTAAGACAAAAATGTTAAAATAAGCTTTAGGCAAGAAATTACATAACTTCTGAGGTGAGTAACACTTGTCGCTGATAAAAACAAATATACCTGCACGCCAGTGAGATGCAGTTAACCATTATCTAATCAGTGATGTGAAGAAATCTTTTTCTCCATCTCTCTTGAAGGTGAGTAGCTAAGAGAGATGGAGTGTGTCTTAAACCAGATCTGAAGCTTTGGGGCATTTCTGTAAGTTTGGATAGATTTGGGAGCTGCTTTTCTTTCTGGTCCTCCGTTATCATGTGACTGACGTCCAAATCAACACAGCGTACATGGAGAAGACGACGCCTTGTATAACTATGGCTTGTGTAGTTGCCAAGGTGACTGTTGGAAATATCATATGGTTTGCGGACAGTTTTTTTTTCTGTTTGGTTCCAACACTAAGCAAACATTGGAGATCTATGATAAGGAATCCTGAACAACAATCCATTTAGATATATTTTAAACTTAGCCTCGTTTCTGTCAGGCTTTCTAGACAAAAGTTGTGATCTGTTAGCAAATTGCTTTTCTACTCATTCAGTTTCAAGTGTTTCAGGAACCGCTGATTATTCATGGAACTTCTTTCAAAAAATGCTAGAAATATTGACTGTGGACGCCGACATTAGCGTCGGGTATGTCTGTGCTGCTGCAACATGTTTAGCATCAAGATGCTATTCTAGGTTTGAGTAGCTTCACTGATTTCCTAACTCCTTTTAGCACAACTTGAACACGACACTAGTCTTTAACAGCGTCCCGTTACGTAATATTTTTAAGCAGAAATTAACCCCCAGTGGGTCAAGAGAAGCAGCTTTGTCGTTCATCGCTGTTGTGTGCGTCAGCTTTACTGGCGTACCAGTCACACACAAATGAAAAGATTCTGCAATTAATTAATTATCTTTTAGGTAATGGTAATAACTGACTAGAGTTAATTGTTAGAATGATAAAAGAGTCAAGGATTTAGTGACGCTCAAAGATGTAAAATAGAAGATTTTGAAAACCTAAGGTCTTTTAAAACCATTTCTAAACATGTGGAGACTCCAAGATCATTGGTTCAAACAACTGAACATGAGTTCAAGTTATCCAGATGTATTAGGTCCTTTTTTTTTTTGCCAAAGTGTGGAAAAAAGGACCTAAACTTTCAATTTCAGAGAAATATAAAGCAGCAACTACCACAGCTCAAGTCTGGAAACTGTTCAAACATCAGCATTACTGTCCAAGGTGGTCATGAAGAGAGAGATCCAAAGTCGACATATAACTCAACCCAAATGTGCAGCCATCCATATGAAGCCCGATTCTTTCTGAAGGAAAGATTTACAACCAGATGAGACAAACGTTGACAAGAATGACAAGAACAATGAGTGAAGGTGAGGCTTTGAAGCCTAACAACACTTAATCAGCTGTCAGGCATGGTGAAACATTCAAGATGAGTTTGCAACGATGAGTTCAAGGACACATGTGAACCATGACATCATCATCTGGACTGGGCTTAAAGAGATAGTAATCATTCTGTATGTAAACTTGTGACTTTCAAAACATTAATAAATGAATCTCTGACATATTCCTTGTCTCATTATTGAGCTATTTAGGCAAATAGAAATAATGTAGCAAATTCAAACTGACCTACAACAGTTTGGAGTTTGGTCTGATTTAATTTCAGACAGTAAAAAAAATGTATGCAAACTTCTGGTTTGAGTTTCATATGAAATTTAGTCAAAACTTGAATTCAAAAACAGCAGGGATCTCAAGTTTTAAATTCATTTCACACATTGTAGCCGTCAGGCAATAAAACTCAGATCTCCATTTTACCTGGTGTTTGTTTTCTTGTGAAGATGAATCAATTGATCACTTTTCATATCTGTCAGTGATTTCTCTGATGAATAACTTTTGAAAAGTGCAAAATGTATTAGTGTTTCCCGAAAAATTCACTTTTAACCTAAACTTCATCCCAAATATCCTCAGTTAGTGTTTCTTTCCAGAAGCTACAATCTGTCAAACATGGCTCTACTTTCCTACACTAGACCACATAGAAGGGGTCTGCCAGTTTAATATGTTGTTGGATTATAATCCCAAACATACTGAACAACAGCCAATGAAACACTTTCAGAAAGGGCTGCAGGATATTAGAAAAACATGGCATTGCTATATATCAAAATTAATATTTCATCACTACTCTCTTTTTTTCCATCACTGCCATGTCCTCACAACTCACCCCGAGCTTTTGGACGTTGGTCACTAAAGGTGCATTCACACCAGCCCTGTAGAGTCCACTTTAATTAAACTCTAGTTCACATGCCCAGAAAGTCCAGTTCATTTGGGGAGGTGTGAATGTGCAGTCTAACTCTAATGCGGACCAAAAAAAAAAAAAAACTCTAGTCTGCCTAAAAACCTAGGTCTCGGTTCGGTTAAAGTGAACTCTGGTGATGTTTGAATGCATGTGGATGCCAAGCGGACCGGAGATCACTCCAAAAGCAGGAAGAGAACTACAGCTCATAGCATCCTGAGTAAATAAGACCAAGACAAATGTGTGAGTCTTGCGCTAACGGGAGGAAAAGTTTGTAGTATTTTAACGAAAAAAGAGAGAAATTCTAACCGCTTAAATTTCCCTGCACTCCGTTTTCGACATTTCGTGAAGAAGGAAGTTGTACTCAGTGTCTTCCTCAGAGGTTTTCATGTCATTTCCTTCAGTGGTTCTTGATGCAGCGCCACCACAGGTGAGGAGGTAAATTGTTTTTTTTAAAGGGTTTGATTCGTTTAACACCATGCAGTTTGAAAGCAAATCGCACCAGCTGAAAATGTAGCCAATGTTGCAATTTTGGTCCCCAATCAAACCAAGACTACTGGACTGTCAGGTGTGAAAACCCCATAAGATCCATTTGCAGTTGTGGACATGAAGGATTATCAGAAAGCAGAGCTATAAAACATGACACTTGAAAAATTCAATTGATGACATTCTTTGGTCTCAGTAATAATGAGTTCACGTGTTGAACGGTATTGAAACAAAATGCAGTTAGCTTTAAACTTTAGCTTACGAGTCGTCCAATAGGGTTTAATAAAAGTGGCAACTCCAGAAAAATAACTTTAAGCTTACTCTGATTATACAATTACACATTTGCACTGAATATTGTACTAACAGCGATGATTTCAGGTGTACTTTCCCTTTCCTTTCCTGCATAGTCATAAAAAGGACTTAAGGCTTGTGGTAATTATCACCAAAATGATCTAAGAAGTGTATTTAAGAAGTTCAACACAAAAGGAGATTCCTTCCTTCCAGCTTCTGCAGCAAGCGGAACAGGGTGAGCTGCAGGTGGCTTTTCCCTCTTATAAAGCCGTCAGGCAAACCCAATACGGCTGTCAAATCTCCTCAGCCTCACATCCAGCCATTACAAATTACAGGAGTGACAGCAGAGCAGAGTCAGCTGCTCACAGTCACCTCAGTGGCCAGGCGCTCCCTCTGGCGGACAGAACAGGTCACGACTCACTTCGACACTTTTACAGGAAGAGGTTAATCTACTCACAGCATTTTAACGACATCCACACCGGCGCACCATACTAATCCCGTTCCTCCTCACATTTGACGATATGATCCTGAAGCTGGATGCTGCAGTCCACAAACCGCCGGCAAAACGTCCCGGAGCTAAAATAAAGCGAACTAAAACATCTGGGGAGGATGATGATGTAAAAAAATAAAAATAAAAATAAAAAATAAAAAATTGACTGCAAAGTATTTCCATCTAAAGCCAAAAACGCCACACCTCTGGCAGACCTATAAATAAATGAAACCAAACTCCAAGAGAGAAGAAGCAGGTTTCAGCGCAAGGTTTTTCACTGATTATTAAATAAAACTGAACCGGTTCTTTTCCCTCATTATATGTCGCCCGGTTCCAGGTGATGAACATACGAACTTCCAGACATGCTTAACAGGCATACGACATTAGAAAAGTTGAAAAACAAGCAAGCGAGAAAATGCCATTTGGAAGGGTGGGGAAAAAAATGCTGAGTTCAAACTTAAACACAGGACGCCGGTGGATACAGATACTGCACTTCGACTCACCTTGAGCGGCCGTTCCTCGGGTGCTGAATACACTTGCTATCAAAGTGGCCACATACCAAATCATAGTACTATAACCAACCAGAAAAAAGCCTCATCATATCTCAAAGTCCCCCGTTCGGTGAGTCTGTCATTGCCCAGCTGCCCAGGACAAACGGAGATGGGCCGGTATCCTTGTTTCCCCGTTAACCGAGCCCTGGACCCTTCACCATCGGCGGTTTCCCCTCTCTCTTCCCCTCTCCTCCGCTCTCCTCGCGCATCCTGAGACAGATCACCTGCGCCAATGGGACGAGAGCAGGCGGCGCCGCGAGACCGAGAGCAGCCCTTCAGACTACCGCGGTCCCGCCTTCGCGCTTGTTTCATTGACGCGCGTGAGAGAATTTCAGCCGCTGATTGGTTACCTGTGCTGTCCCTTCCGCGTTTGGAGTGGTGCGTTCACTTGATGAAAATAAAAATAGATTAGAAGTTCAAAGATTCCGATCAAGCAGCTGTTTCGCGCTTTTATTGAATGTTTCATCAGTTTCATGTGATTAAACATAAAATAAATGATTTACTTTTATTGGTGTCACAGTTTCAGCGTGGTCAGAATCAAAAACACTATATTTATTCCCGTTTTAAAATGAAATTTTACTGATATGTGATTAATATTCGAGCAGCACCGCATCTGTCATTTATGATATTTAGAAAATGCTCATATGTGACGCTTTACGGCCTTTATTGTCTTTTCAATATCTGAACTGCTCATGGAAATACCTTTCTCGTAGTGTAGTAAAAAAGTAAAAGCTTGACATTTTTAGTCGCAGGGCCTGAATGTAGCAATGCAAAGGGAGCCGTTTCAAGTTGGGTTGGAGTGCGAAGCCGTAGCGGAGCTGCAGTATCATCCTGCGCAATAAGATGAGAGGAATCCTTCAGCCTGTGCATCATCGCGACACGGACTGTAATCAGATCCCTTGTGGAAAAGTGAGACTGTCAAAATATGTACCAGCCTGTACGTTACACAAAAGTGCAAACCCAAGAAGAGTGACTAAGAGGATTCAGCGTGATTCATCTCTATTGATAGGCTAACTCCGTCAATAACAGGTTAATATTCAACTGAGTCAGCCTGTGTTGCTCATAGAGCATCCATCCTCCGTCAGAGCCAGGTCTACCTCCAGGTCCAGGAAGGAGGAGGTTCTGCTGCATGGCTTAAAGCAATCCATTTGAGATTATTTCGGTTACATTAATATTACAAGCTAAAACTTAAGTTTGCATCAACAGAATAATGTAAACATGAGACGTCCTTAAATAGCAACTTTGTAAACACTAGAGGTACAGGAAGCCTGACATTGTCTGGGGCCGGGATTTTATTTGGGAAAGAAACAGCATCACAGATCCTCAACCATATAAAGTAGACATAAGGCTTTTTTTCCCCCTTTTCATCCTCTTGACTCACCAGAGTATTTATGGTGGAAAACTTTAGTCTTAAGTTGCAGTCACAATGTTTCTGGCACTATCCCATAGCTTATCTAAAATTATGATGAAATAAACCTGAAATATTTTTTTTAAGACATCATGTCCTGAATTCACAGAGTTCTGTGTTACATTAGATGTGTTGTCACCATCTTTCTTTTTTTATGATCCAAAGATGAAAGTACAATTCCGAACACACAGTCCGAGTGCCCAGAAAACCATCCAAAAATGGTTATAAGAAAAATTGAGAAAGCCAGTCAGATTGTGTTATTTGATGCTACTTCTCAGCATAACAAGGGGAGAGAATTCTCATAGGCGCAGACAGAAAGTATGAGCAGCTTAGTACAAGATTAATGCACACAGTTCCAAAAAAAAGTCCCTGTAGTGTTTAAGGTACTCTAATGTTTACAAGCAACCAGCTGGAGTGCATATAAAATGTAATGGGTGCTACATAGACTCAGTGCTACTTTATATTAATAGGCCAGGCAAACAGGATGTCATGGATTACAAATTAAAAGTTCCTAGATATTCTTACAAAAATAAACTATTAATTACATTTTATTTATTTTATTTTTTTTTTTAAACATTCATTCACATCTTTGGGCTTGACTGCAAATGTCCATGTCGCATCGAGCCACAGCGCGTTAGCATCCCTGCCACAGACATCGCTGAGCAACAGATGCAACTGAGTGCCTGCTTTTGTGATGCTTGACAGCCATTCTGGCAACAGTGGCAGTGGGATTACCCCCGTTTCTTTCACCTAACTGTCATAACAAGCCGCGTGCTAAAAAGACTCTTGTGAAGTGCAAATGGCTTTTAGAAATTCGTCTTTCATCATGTTCTGAGAGCCACAGCGCCACGCTCCACATTTTCCCCCCCTTCTATTCGTTGGTGGTGTTTAATGAGTCAGGTGTGACCCGTTAAGCACTGTGAGCACAGACCGTAATAATGAAACCCAGTCTGTCTCATGTCATTTAACTACATAAAATTCAATTTCTCTTCTTACTCTGTAATCCCTGCAGAACATGTCTGTTTGAGGGAAGACAGTGAAGGCAACATAAATGACTGCTCAGTTAGTCTAATGACAATTTTAGGTGAATTAAGACTTTAAGAAAGACATGGAGAGTAAAGGACTTGATTAGAAAGCTCGACACCAGGCACCGGGATCCCAAAATTCAATGTCCAAGAAAACTGGGAATATTGAAAACTGACAGTGTTACAATCTAATCAGCTAATTAACTCAAAACATCTGCAAAGGTTAAGACTGAACCTCTGCTCTGACAATATTTCAGCAAATTTATTGAAGTTTAAGTGGGAGCTTTTCTGAAGCATGCAGACTGAATGGTGCAGTGACAGGAAGAAGCGTTTATGAAACGCTCAGGGAAAAAAACGATGAGGACTGGAGTGCAGGTGGGATTTAGAGCAAGACTGTTGGAAGCCACACTTTGAAGTTTCAGAATAAGTCTTAATGATGACCTAAATATCCCAGAAAGGTGACCCCTTCACTTTTAAGGTGAGCTTTTGGCTTCACAAAAAAAATCTAACAGTTGTACTGATATTTGTGTTTAAAAATGTGCACGCTTTCCTCACAAGCAGTTGTTTTGATACGTTTTGTATAAAGTGCCCCATTGAGATTGCATTCATGCCCATTTGTTTTAAATTAGTGTTAGATTCGGAAAAGAAAAAGAATGCCAAAACACTAAAATACTTCCAAAATGTCAGGGCTTAATTTAAAGGAGTCTTTTATGCATTTATAGCACATGCCACGCAGTGTGACGCTACAACTGTTTCATAAAACGTGTTTGTTTTGCTCTGTCAGCATCCTTTGTTTAAGACAAATATGATAGATGGTTCTTATTTTTATATGAGAAATATGTTGGGGGTGTGCACACTATTTCCCCTTTCTAGAGTGATGCTGTTATTTGCGATTTCTCTTGTGTAACAGCATCATCAAAAACATGGAATACCTCTGTAAATGTCTCGGGACATCATCAAGCCTGAGGAAAACATCATCGAATATCAGACCAAGACACTTCAGGTATGAAAGCATAGACGACAAAGTACATCGGGTGTCAGGACCTGGGGCTTGTGTTTCTACAAACCTTCTCGACACTCTTTTTCTCATCAGCTTTTATTTTTCAGTTCTGAAATTTTCTGCAAGTTCTGGGCGACTGACCCGGCAGGTCACGTGCGATGCGAGGGATGGGTCTCAGCCCGCTCTGTGCTGGAGATCCAGAATACGGGATTCATTCCTGCGTTCAGCTCCAAACACATCAGAGGAGAAAAGAGCTCATCCGTCATGCAGCTTTCAGGCCTAATCCTCCAGTCGCTTGAAGCGTGGCGTTCCATGCTCCACGCTCCTACTTCGCAAAAGTAGCTCTCAACTTTGTGCATATTTGATAGGCTTTTTATTTTTTTATAAAGCTCATGTATTTATTAGAGACAGTGTTTTTTTTTTTGTTTTTTTTTCACAAGTTTCCTCTGAAAGCATAAGCTGTGGAAAGGAGACGTCCTTTTAACATTTCTCTGCACGAGGGCGGTATCTAATACACTGGGTGTATTATTTAACGACTGCCAAATTCAATTAAAACATTTGTTGAAGAACACTCAGAAAAACATCACTAAATGGAAACCGTGGCCTAAGAAATTAATTTGGTTCCTGCTTTACTTTAGATGATAGTACATTCAGTTCAATATTTTTAAAATCAGAGCATGTGATCAACTTTATCAACTTTGCAAAGCGCATGGGATAGGACTCTATATTTTTCCAAACTTTGTTAGTTTTGACCACTTTGGAAATATTCTTACTTGCATTCTTATTTCTGTGGCAGCAATTACTGCTGTCAATGTTTTTGAAGCGCAAACAGCAGAAGTGGAAATCAATTAAATCAAAGTACATCTAATTATTCAATCGTTTACAGAACCACTTTAAGCAGAAAGAACTTGAAGGGGTTGCATTCGAATTAAAAACCTGACTTCGCTGCATGGGGAAGAATTTTGACTCATTCTCTGAAACAGAGTTGATTCCATTCATTGGCATTCGGAGGCATTTATTCCTGCCCAGCTTCCTTATTTCTGATTAAAATCTGAACTTGTGTGGTTCTTTCAGCCGTCAAACCGTAGAACATGTCATATCAGAGCGGTCTGTGATTGACAAGCGATGATATGTAAGCGTTATACCAACAACTTCGACTGAAATGGAAGAATAAAAGTTATTTACTGTCCAAGATCTTTAGCATAATTTAAGCTGTTCGTGTAATCTGAACTGAAGCTGTTGAAAGGGTGCAGGTGAGATTGTAGCACCTCACAACCTCACAGCAGAGACTTCAAAAAGTCTTCAATATATATATTTATGTAGTACGTAGTACTCTGTAACAAAAAATACGTTTTCCCTCATTTTGTAGATTGAACGAGTAACTTGTGTTAAAGACAGCACACTCGTTTTTTTTTTCATTTAGTCACATCCTGATGAGACAAGGTTGAAACGTATCGGACCCGTTTCGGGGCCATCGAATGTCAATGAGATGATTAAATCTAGGGGCCACAAGTGGAGACTGACTGGGTGCAGAGCACAAGTCCTTCTCTAGCATACAGTTAGACAATGCCCATGGGATGACCTTGTTTCTCGAATAGGACGAACACGACTAAATGAGAAAAGAAGAAGTGATTGCCATTGCAGAATAAACTTCGGTAATCCAAGAGGAGTGTGGTCCAGGTGTAACACAGCAACACCTGGTCACACATCGGATGTGTGAGCTATAGATACACAAACTGAGGAGCTTTAAATTCAAGCCCGCGCGTTATAAATGGTATGTACATTTA